CCAGCCCGTTGTTTTTACCCCAGAGCTTGAAGCAGCAGAAAGAGAGACCCAGCCTATGGAACCAGACAGCACGAGGTGTGACTCCCAACTTGTCCCCATGACACATATGTGACCTGGGACAAATCACTGCAGCCCTCTGTGCCCGGGTTTCCTCCTCAGTCACACAGAAATTATAATCCATCCCTCAAAGTCTTGTTGAGAGGATGGAGTAAGGTCACATGGGTAAAAAAAATGCTCTGTCAACTAGAAAATGAATTACACATTCTCTCTGCATGTATAATTTGATCCTCCAAACAATTTAGTAAAACAGGCAGGGCAGAAATTATTTAAATAAAGTTGTTAATTTCTTCTGAAAATAATTTTCATTTTATAAGAAATACATGAATCCATTCTCTTAGAAATCAGGGCACTGTCGATGAAGCTGAAGTCCCTTCCCCACCACCTCCAATCTGGTCCCCTCCCACTTCCTCAGTGCCAGCTCCTAGGATGAGCTTAGTATGTATCACTGCAGACAATTTTTAGACTTTAGCATACATTATATGTACCCACAGAAAATAACTAGCATTGTTTTGTGGTATTTTTAATGTAAATGGATTCATACTGATGTATCACTCTGCAATTTGCTTTTTTCTCTCCAACAACGTTTTTGAAAGCTATCAATGTTGTCATATATAGCTCCGGTTCACTCCATTTAAGTGGCTGTGTTCCACGGGATGAATGCACTCCATTTTATTTGTCCAGTCCCTTAGTGATAGCCCTGTATGATGTTTTCCCTGTTCCCCTCATCATCAGCCATGCCACGTGACCATCTGTGTACACATCTCCCCCCACACACCCCGATATTTCTCTCACACCGACTCCTGAGTCATGAGTTTTTTGCGTTTTCAGTGTTAATAGACCAGGGTGGGGCTTATTAATAATGATAATAGTTGTCATGTACTGAGCTTTTGCGATGTTCTAGGAGAGCGTGTGCACGTGATCTCATTTAGCCCTGGCAGTAAAACCACATGGGAGCCAAGATTCTCTCCAGTTGTCAGAAGAAACCGCTGAGGCCCACCCGGAAAGATGCAGGATTTACTTAGAGCCACATAGCTGGGTTGGGACAGTGTCTGGACCAGAACTTGGCCTTCCTGAGCCCAGATCACCCCCCTCTCCCCAGCAGCAGTCTCTCCCTCTGCTCTTGAAGACTTAGGGCAAGAATCTCTGGAAAAATTAACTGGGCCATTCTGGACCCAGAGCCAGGAATTCACTAAATGGCTGGGTGCAATGGCTCACACCTGTAATCCCAACACTTTGGGAGGCCAAGATGGGAGGATTGCTTGAGGCTAGGAGGTCAAGACCAGCCTGGGCAACATAGTGAGACCCTGTCTCTATTCCTGCCAAAATTCGTTTATATTAGCCAGGTGTGGTGGCACACGTCTGTAGTCCCAGTCACTTGGGAGGCTGAGGTCAGAGGATTGCTTGACCCTGGGAGGTCAGGGCTGCAGTGAGCTGTGGTTATGCCACTGAACTCCAGCCTGGGTGCCAGGGCGAGATCCTGTCTCAAAAAATATATAAATAGATAATAATAATAACAATTAAAACAATACAAAAAATCCGCAAAATTCCAAGTGACAGGTCCCTTCTGATGATGTGAAAGGTGGCTGTCTAGATCATCTCCGGGCCAGGAGGTCCAGAGTTTTCCATAATCCAGACGTCGGCGGTTGGAGCGGCAGAGGCAGGACTGGAAGGGGCATTGAGCCATGGAGTGCTAGTCTCCTGGAGCTGAAACAACTTTTAAGGAGAAACTGAGGCCTGGGGCAGAGGTGGGGCGGACTTGCTGAAGGCCACGCAGTGCGCCAGAGATGTGAAGGACCAGAAGGCTGCCTGGGCCCAAGGTCTGAGCCGCTGAAGGACCTGCAAGCCCAGGCCGAGGCTGGTGGCCCACATGAGAAGCAAAGTCAGGGTCTGTCCCCAGGAGCGTAGCACTGGAGGGTGGTCCCCCAGAGAAGCCCAGGGCCTGAGGCCTGCTTCTGTTCCCAGCTCCCTGGGGCCCCCACCCTCTGACCACCCTTTCGCTCCTCCTCCTTCTCCTCCTCCTCCTCCTTGTCACCTGTCATCGCAGAGGAGCCTTCCTTCCTCTTGTCTCGGCCAACGCCTCCTGCCCCCTACCTTCTGCCTGGATCTACACTTTCGCCCCCACTCATTAGCACTGAGCACACTCAACTCTCTCCTTTAAGAAAACCCTCCCTCGGCCCTACCTTCCTCTCCAGCTACCGCCCCCTCCCTCCTTCCCTTCAAAGCCCAACTTATCAAGTTGTCTTCGCATCACTCTCCCACTCACTGCTCAACCCACTCCAATCTGGTGCCCGCCCCCTCCTCATTACAACCATCACAGGTCACCGGCGGCCATCCGGTGCTGTCACTGAGGACGCCCTGATCCTCACCTCAGGAAGCCCTTCCCCCTGATCTCTTATGAGCGCTGGACTGTTGGGGGGCAGGCCCTTCTCCAAACTCACCCCCCTGCGATGTCCTCCACTCCACTGTCTTCTGCTGTTCCTCCCGCCTCTCTGACCACCCTTGTCACTCACCTTCACCATCTCCCCCACCTGCCCTTTCATTGGTTAGCAACACTTATTATTAGTTATGACAAATACAAAGAACTATAGAGAAAAAGACAAACAAAAATGACCTGAAATCTTACCAACCAGTCACTCCCTTATTCATTTTTTGCAAATATCGATGTGGTGGGTGTGCCACCCGCATAAGCGCATGCTGTGCCCACAGAGAGGACAAGGGAGGCAGTGACAGCGCCTCCTCACCTGACCTGCTGCTCTGCCGAGGTGAGCCCTGCCAACACTATCTTCTAATGCCTTCTAGAAAAACGCTTTGTTCATACACCACCATATATGTCTTGATATTACGTTTGTTTACCCCAAAGGGATGATTCTAACAGCCTTTGGTGCTTCTGCCACCCTTTAAATCTTGGGGCTGTCCTGGGCCTTTTCTCTTTTTTTAGAGGTGGAGTCTCACTAAAGGCAGGGTCTTGCTTTGTCCCCTAAGCTGGTCTCAAACTCCTGGGCTCAAGAAATCCTCCCCCCTCAGCTTCCCAAAGTGCTGGGATTACCGTTGTGGGCCACCTCACAGGCCCGGGGCCTTTTCTCACTCCTCACGCTGCCTCAAGCCAGCCACCTCAGCCACCCCGGGGGGTCTTTGTGATGATAAGACCTGATTCACTTCCTGCCAGCTTGAATTTCTTCTCTGGATTCCAGACCCACAAAATCGACCATCTATTTGACATCTCCACTTGAGTGGAGAAGCTCACACACTTTGTAGATCTGGCATCTTCCCTGGAAAACAGAAAACTGTCACTTTCTCTGACCCTGCCCACCTCCATCTCCCCAAATAACGCCATGGGTCACCGCAGCCAGCAACCTGGGAGTCACCCCTGAAAGTCCAAATCATCATTAGACTGTGTCTGCACACTGGATACACCACTTAGGTTTGTGGAGCCTCATCTGTAATATGGAGATGACAGCAGTTCCTTCCTCCCAGTATGGTTGCTGATGTGTGGATCAAAGGAGATAGGACCTGGATGGTGCTCGGGGCAGCCCTCCCTGGCAGAAGTATCTGCTCACTAAATGCTGTCCGTAACCCCTCCTTATCCCTCCCTTTGCTGACCACCTACATCCAATTGTCCACGACTGCCAATTCTCCCAGCTGGACTGGCTAAACCATCTTCCACCCAGCCTCCCTGAAGCAACTCCAGCCCCTCCAGTCTGTTCTGCTCTTGACAGCCGAAGTGATCCTTTAAAAGGTAAATCTAATCACTGTCACTCCCTTGTTTAAAAGCTTCAGGGATCACCGACATGTCTAAAGTCCAGGGTCTCTCCTGTGGCTTCGGGCATTGCAGAGATTCAGCCAGAGAGCTCCAGCCATGTGCGGCCAGCATCTTCCCTGATTGGTGGGTGCCCCACTGAGCTCACTGCTACATATTTGGATGTGCCCAAGGTCCTCTGCAGCCTGGCACTAGCAATCACCTCACCAGCATCTCTCCTCCATCCCCCTCAAGTTCATATTTCAACTGGAACAAACATCTTCTGTTTCCCCAAACAGGATGACACACTTTCTCCCTGACCTCTAGGCTATCATATATGCTGTTCCCTGGGCCTGAAACCCTTTCCCTCCCACCCCCACCTGGCTAATTCCTTCTTACCTAGTAGGTCACTCTCCTGGAACACCCTCCCTCATCCTGCTCCCACAGCAGCCTTTTGTAAAGTTTCTTTCACTCGTGATTTCTTACCGATGGGGCTAAGAGGATTTCCCTCTATTACTGGTTAATTTTTTTTTTTTTTTTTTTTTTGCCTATGGCCTCTGCCACTAAAATGCAAGGCATCTAGGGGTGAGAGACTTGCTCATTCAATGCGCTTCTGAATGCTCAGCTCCTGGCACAGAGAAGGCGTTCAGACAACGTTTGTTGAATCGCTTATTAATTCAACCACTCAACAAATATTTGTTGAGCACCTTTCTGTGCAGGTACGATTCTATGCCCTAAAGATACATCAGTGAATTGAACCAACAAAGATTCCTATCCCCTTGAAGCGTGTGTGCTAGGGAGGAGAGAGGGAGGCAAAAAATAAGCATCATAAATAAGTAAATCACATAATATGTTAGAAGGTGATAAAAGCTATGGAAAGTAAAGAATAGAGAAAGGGGAGTTGGCAGAGCCTTGGAAGGGGGCTGTGATTTTAGGTGGAGTGGTCGGGTTGCTTTTCATGGACAATATGACATTTGGACAAAGATAGTCAGATGGCAAGGGAGGGAGGCCCACAGATATGGGGAAAGGAGCACCCAGACTCAGGGAACAGCTATTGCAAAGGAATCAGGTGGGAGAATGCCTGCCAAGAAAGGAAAACCCAGCAGGCCAGGGGGACTAGAGCAGAAGACGGGGGAGAAGGGGAGCCGACGAGGTTAGAGGGACCTCAGGGGTAGATCACATAGAGCCTTATAGAAACACTGGCTTTTGTACTGAGAGAAATGGGGGCCACTTTTCCCAAAAGTTTTACTGAGGTATAATTTACATGCTGTAAACTTCACCCATTGTAAGCATACAGTTCAATGAGTTTTCATAAATTACAGAGTTGTGCAACCACCATTCAGTTACAGAACATTCCTTTCACCCCAGAAAGAGCCTTCGTGCCCATCTGCAGTCAATCTCCATCCCCACTGCCAGCCCCAGGCAACCACTTCTGTTTTCTGTCTCTATGGAGTTGCCTTTTCGGGACATTTGCTATAAACAAAAGCATACCATATATGCTTTTTGTTTTGTGTTTCGCATCTGGCTCCTTTCATTGAGTATAATGTTTTGGAGGTACAGCCGAGTTATCACAGATATCAGCAGCGCATTCCTTTTTATTGCTTAATAGTACTCCTCTGTGTGGGTATACCACATTCGCATATCCATTCACTGAGGGAGAGGCTTTGGGGTTTTTTTCTGCTTTTGGCTATGTTGAATCATGGTGCTGTGAACATTTTCATACGAGCTTTTATGTGGACATATGTTTTCATTTCTCTTGTGTAGATACCTAGGAATGAAATCGCTGGATCGTACAGTAAATTTATACTTAACTTTTAAAGAAACGACCAAACTGTTTTCCAAATGGCTGCCATGTGGAGAATAATCTAGAGTGGAACAAGGATGGAAGCTAAGGGTCCAATTCTTTCATTAATATCATTAATTAAATAAATCCACTGGATTTAAGGGGAAAGGCGTTAGAACCGTCATCTGTAACCTGGGTACATGGTGTCCAGGTCGGCACCAAAGACCCTTGTTGAGGACCTAGGCCAGGGAACCCCTGGCTGCAAACCCAGCCTTCCCATCCCAGAGAGGAGCAGAGAGCCCTGTTGTACCCCTACCCCTCCCTCCCTGCTGCCCAATCCTCAGAAAGCTTCCACGCAGCCAAAGCGTGAAAATTCCCAGTTTAAAGAAGAATCAGCATCAGGCATGACTGTTGGAAGTTGCGGAGCCCTCTCCCCCTAGGGAGATGACAAAATTTTCTTTGCAATTAAAATTCCTTTGAAACTAGGACCAAGGAAAATGCAGAGGAGAAAGCGTTTTAAACTAAGGGAAATGCTCTTCTGTAGCAATTACCATGTGTGCATTTCAACAAAAGCTGTTGCCTCCTCTCCCCACTCTTCCCTCCTCCCAGTGGCTGCAGGGAACTGCCCCAGCGCAGCTTGGCTTCTGCATTCACACTGGGCCCTGGGGCCTCCGTTGGCCCCTTTCCCTGGCTGGTCCCTGCTTCTCTGCCCACTCCTAGCTCTTGGATTCCTCATTCATTCCAGTCTTCATTTCAGGCCTTTACTTACAATGTCCACTTCCTTTGAGTCCTTTCCCAAGCCAGTGGCTCATCTGCCAAGATGCAGTTCCATCCTTGTACTCACGTATCTGATACCCCCGCCATTGTCTCTCCCCATTCCACGGGGGTCTTTCCCTGCTCGGAGCTCACAGTCCTGCCTCTCTGCACAGCTCACCGAGCTCTGAGCACAGCTCTCTCTTAGCATCTTGGCCTGTGGGTATGATGATCAATGCATCGGAAAGAGTAGGGACATTAGACACCTGGGCTTCCTTCATTCATTTAATTAACAAATATTTATTGAGCCATAATGATGTGCCATGCACAGTGATGAAGTCCTAGGGATTAGCCATTTCTGTGTTTAGCAACAGGAGGTTAGGTTTTTGGGGTCAACCCTTCAGCTAAAAAGGGCCAAGAATGCTGAATAAAATATAAAAAGCACCTTATTAAAGCATTAAAGAGCTGACAAGTAAGCTCTTTGTAAGGAATTATTAGGTCAAAACTGAAGGAAAAACAGAAACCCCAGAGAAGTTAGAGAGCACAGAAACTGCTTTTGTCCTCAGGGCATTTGCTGATCCTAGAAAATCTGAATTTGTTTTTTGATGAGCTCACGGCATAAGCGGAATTGAAATCCAAGTTCATGGCCTGAACAAGGTGGGAAATCAGTTGAGAGATTCTCACCAAAATAAACTAGAATGCCAAAGGATTCACCCTCGGGGTAAGGGTGAACCAGAGATGACCCAGCCTTGAATCATGGATTGGAAGCCTCATCCACACAACTTTGGTATGCCAGGGAACCTCAAGCCTCGAACTGTATTTAATCACAGAATGATAACACCCACAGCCATATGCAAATGCTCAGTAGAAGAAAATACCTTTATCCTGGGCTTCAAATTATTCCTTAAAATAAAATTTCGAGTACAATGGCCAACATACAGTCAAAGATAACCAGACACACCAGAAAACAATGCGTGATGAACTAAGCACTGGCAGTACAATGTGAGCAAACAAATGACATCCCTTGCTTCATGGGACTTACAGCCCAGCAGGGAAGATAGACATCAACACTCTTAGCAAGGATACCAGCAATCTCTGCTCGTGGAGGCATTTCCGTGTCCTCAGTTTACTTTGCTTCTCAACAGGTTTCATCATGCTGACCTCTAGTTCCGCTCTTGGTTTCCATGACAGACTCTTGGATGGCCTCCAACCTCACTGGCAGCTTCTTCTCAGTCATCGTGCTTCCTTCTCCTCCTCTGTTTCATCTCTGATGGTGGTGTGCCCCAAGGTTCACTTCAGGACCTGTTCTCTGTCTCTCCCCAGGTGATCTATTCATTTCCTCAGCATTAAATATCATCCACATGCTGATGAATTGCGGAGTTATGTCTCCAGCCTGGATTTCTCCTTGGAGTTCCAGACTGTTTCATCCACTGTCTATGACACATCTCAACATGCATGTCTCAGGAACATCTCAAACATAACACATCCAAAAAAGGGTTGCTGCCTCCCTAAGCTTGTAAAAACCTAAGCGTCTTCTTAAATTTCTGGTTGGAATTAGAATGGAGAGGGAGATGATGTGAAATGGTCAATTTAGAGAGCTATTTAGAAGGTGGAGTGGCCCAGACTTCACCATTGCCTTTTGGGGGTGCAGCAGTGGAGATGCCATGCCTGACTTCCAGCCATCTGGCCTCAAACACTTGACAGATGGGGGTGTCATTCACCAAGATGGAAAACCCCAGAGAAGAGTCAGTTTTAGGGAAGAGGAACATGCACTTAGCTTTGGACATGTTGAGTTTGAGGTTTTTTGGAGGCATCTAAGTGGAGGCATGAGAGGGCAGCTGTATGTTTCTCCCTGAACTTCAGAGGAAAGGTTAGGACTGAGGATACTAAGCTTGGGAGCCATCATAGTATTGATGGTAGTGGAAGCCATCAGCATCAGTGAAATTGCCCAGGGAAAGAGTGAAGAGTTTGCAGGTGGGATAGAAAAAGACACACCTGCAAAGGAGATGCAGAAGGCATTGTTAGAGAGGTGGTAGGGAACCCAGTTGTTTAGTTTTCTATTCTAAATGCCGCTGAGAGTCACGTAAAATAAAGACTGGAGAACATCCATTGGGTTTAGCAATATGGCAGTCAAGGTGACCTTAGGAAGCCATCTCAGTGCATGTTGGGAGTAGAAGCCAGATGGCAGTGGGTTGAGAAGAGTAGGAGGTGAATAAAGGAGATAGTATGATCAGGCAGTTTTCTGAGAGGTTCTGCTATTAAGGGAAGGGGTTGGGGAGTATAGGGCGGTGTGTGCTTGGTTTTGTTTTTTAAAGATGGAATCTACTTGAGCATGTTTAAATGCTGATGCCTACAAACCTCTTAAAGAGGGTTGAAGGTAAGAAGGGAGAATCCATCGTGTAAGGTTTCTCAGATTCCAGGAAGGTGTACATGGTCTCAGACAAAAGGAGGACCATTTCCTCTGTTGCAGAGAGGAAGAAGAGAGGATGGACAGGGATGTGTTTCCTCATCTGCAAAATGGGATAGTAACAGCGCCCACCTTGGAGGGCTGAGATGCGGCTTTGATGAACGGATGTTTACAATGGGCTCAGCCCGGGGTGGTCCCAGCAGGTGGTACAGGCTCCACAAACAGCAGCTGTTATTCATTATCTTCCTCTTTCATGACTGCTCCACTCTCGCCTGTGGGGAATAATAATCAAACCTCACTTGGTTACAGCACTTGACTCTTTCCAGAGGATTACTTTTATATTCATCAACTATTCGAGCTTCACAACGAACCTGGGATTCCTGTTCCCTGTTTTACGGAACAGGACGCTGAGGCTCAGAGAGATGAGGTGGCCTGCCCAAGGTCACACAGTTGGTAATAACGAAGCTGGAAGTCCAGCCCAGTTTCCATGGCCAAATTAGTCATCAGTATTAGATATCATCATCTACATGATGAATTGCAGATTTATATCTCCAGCCTGGACTTCTTGGAGTTTCAGACCGTTCCATCCATGGGGTAAAGGTGAACACAGATTTAGGTTCTCACTGCCCCCGCACGTAGCCCCTGCAGTATAGCCCTGTATGTGAACTCCATTTCCTTCAACACCTGCACTGTCTCCTGGAGAAAGGATATCCATGACTAGAATCCATAGCTTTAAACTCAAGAAAAAGAGGATTAAGGTTTGAACAAGGTGCCAGTCTCAACTCGCTTTCTTGCTCCAGCCCGAGACCGGAGATTAGGGAAGAAGATGCCTTATCTGCCAGCTCTATCACTTGTCAGGAGAGGGAATAAAGTAAAAGCCCCTCAGGCCTGGCTCAGGGCTGCCTATCTGTCACCCCAGATGGGGCCCTGCTCACAGTCTGCTGGGAATGATTTGGCCAAACTGCACTGCACCCTGCAGCCCCAGCAGGCCCGACCTGGAGATATAGGACCTGTGAAAAATATTCTCTCCCTCTCTTTTCCCCATCTGTTCCTGGCACTGCCAGGTCAGAATGAGTGTTCCCATCTCCAAGATAAGGCCCAGCCCGTAGCAAGGTGCTCAGACTGGCTGCCCCTGCCTTTTCCGCTCACGTCACCCCGGCTCTCTGAATAGCGCTTCCTCCAAGACCTCGCTCAAGTTCTTCCCTCTGCCTGGAATTCCTTTTCCCTTGGCTGTATATGGCGAACCCCTACATATCCTTCAAGGATCAGTTCAAACGTCTCCCTCTACAGGAACCTGACTCCCTTGGATAAAAGCAAGTCTCTTTTGAGCACCTACTACCTACGGGTGCCTGGTTGGGGCTCTGGGGTATGGAGGTGAATCAGACCTTGGCCCCTGCCTCCAGAGGTCCAGGGTTGCAGTCCAGTAGGAAGAAGTCACAAGGCTGGAAGTCGCTGAGGAGGTAGATGGGGAAATGGGAAGTGACAATCCCCAGGGGGTAAGCTTAGGGCAAGGAGAATGGTGACCTCAGGCCCCCGGTCCAAGAATGAAAGCAACAGGCCAGTTTCCCTGGGGGAGCAGGCGCCCTTACCTGTCCCTGGCAGGCTGGCTCCTCTTGTCATCCTCTGTCTGCTCAATCACCCACAGTGGGCCACGTGGAATGGACAGCGGGTGCACGGTTCGGGGAGCCCCTGGCTCGGAGCCTGGCTCTGACGTCAGATGCTTGTGTGATCTTGGGCAAGTCACCTCTCTGTGCTTCGTCTCCATGGCAACATGGCAAGAGAAATAGTCTGCCTCACAGGGCTATGTGAGAAGTAAATCGATTACATTCGTGAGACACTTAGCATGGTGGTTATCAAGCACTTGACGAAAATTAGCTAGGCTCAGTACTATTTATTATTTTATTGGCAGAAGATTTGGGACCCACGCTGTCAACTCACCCTGTGCACTGGAGAAATGTGCCCCCTCTCTGGGCCTCTCTCCATCAGGAAAATGAGGAGTCATGGATTTCCAGCTTTGATATTCCATGATAGGAACGGAGACAGGGCTGGTAATTGAAGCAGGATGGGAATGAATAAGAAAGACCCGGGGCAGAGCGGGACACTGAGCAGCAAGGAGACCCCAGGCAGCCTGCTGCGGTGGCGAGCCGTGAGCCATCAGTTCGCAGAAGAGAGTTAGCAGCCAGATCACAGAGGGCACTCAGTGCCAAAATAACCTTTCTGAGGAGTCACAGGGCCTGATCAATCATTTGGCAACTGTGTCTAATTGTTAGAGAGATAACAGGCTGTCCGGAGAGGAGTGATTTCCCCAACGCTAGGGGAATGTAAGCAGGGACTGAGATCTAAGAGACATTCAAACAACCAAAAGCAGTGGCTGGGGAAAGAAGGACTGTGCCAGAGTGCTTAAGCACCTCAGCCCCAGAGTCAACTGCTTCCTTGGTGTGTGACCTTGACGGTGCCCTCATGCTCCCTGGCCCCAGTCTGCCCACCTATAAAATGGGGGTGATGATGGTTATTGTGAGGGTGAGATGTGTTAGTGTTGAAGCGCTCATGATTGCTGGGGTTACTATGACTTCTTGGCCTTGGCCTCTGAAGCCCATTCCTGCCACATCCAGCCTCTCCCTTCTTCCATCCTAGAGGAAAGCGGCCGGCCACGCAGGAGTCTGGGGCTGAGGAGGCTCCAGCCTGAAGCCTCCCTGAGGAGCTTGCCATGGTTACCAGCTGCCTGCAAAGAGAGGCCATAAATCCCGAGCCTGGGGTGGTGGGAGGGAGGGAACCCGTGTGTGGGGCGGGAATGGGGGCAGCTAAGTGGAATTGAATCTTGTTTAAGGAGGAGGCCCACGCCTCCCCGGGCCTGTAATTTACTGCGAGGTTGACAAGATGAAAGCGGAATTTTCAGTGGCATAATCGCTGGGACCTCGGGGAGCTGCGGGAGATGAGCCGCAAGGCAGGCAATGGCCGCCAGGCTTTAAGCAAGATCTGGGGCGCTGATCGTGCTGTGATCACAGCAGGCGACAGACCAGGGCCACAGACCCCCGGAGCAAGGCCAGGCCCGGCTGGATAAGCCCAGGCTCAGGCCGTGTCTTGCCGTCTTGCCTGCTGTCATCTCCGGGGCTGAGGTCGGCCCCAAGTTTTTAGCAGATCGTATGTAGTGGATTGTACCATGCAGGACAGTTGTGACCCTGTGGCTGCTGACAGCCCTCAGCCAAAGTGAGCTGCCTCACCCCAGGTCATGACTCTAGGCGGGTGGGGGACGGAAACTCATGTCCAGTATCAGCTAAATACATGGATTCAAAGGCCTGGCACCTTGCTCAATTTGGAGCATCGCAGCTCCAGAGTTCCCTGTGGGACCAGCTGAGGCCCCTGCTCAGACAGCCTTGCAGTTCAACTTCTCCCTCCACGTGGTCCTGCTTCCCTCACCCCTTCCACGGTGTTCCCGAGAGCTCTCCCCCAATGAATCTCTCACAGGCAAAGCTCTGGCTCAAGGTCTGTTTCCAGGGAGCTGGACCCAGAGCCTTCCCTCAGCAGGAGGTTTGTTTTAAAGTAGCATTTATAAGTAGTGTTGGAATAGGATACTGGTAACTTCTTTTACAGATGGAAAGACTGAGGTTCGGGAAGGGAAGAAACTCATTCAAGGTCACACATGGTGTCAGGGGCAGAAGCTGGGATCCTGGACTCCCAGTCCACTAGTCCAACTCCTTCATCTCACAGGTGGAAAGACTGAGGTTTGGAGAGTCGGGGGACGCCATTCAGCTGCAGAGCTGAGTCAGGGAATGCAAGCCGAGCAGGCTAGGGTGGAAGCTCGCTGCTTTGGGCTTGGCCCGTAGCCACCTCTCTTCTTGACACTTCTCTTTGTTCATCGGTAACTGGAGAGACTAAAGCCCATCTCAGGAGGATGGTGTGACAATTGCCTAAAATAATAACAATAAGAGCTCGCACTGATTGTGTGTGGGAATGAGCCCTTCACACATATCTTGTTGAATCACTGTGAAAACATGTAGCAGTTGGCTCGGGGCTGGGCACACAGTTAGGGTACGGTGTTTGATCTCTGTTCCACAACTTGCCAGGCACCTGCTCCAGAGGCTCTCAGGCCAACATCGGAATCTCCTAGGAGCTATCCCAGACCTAGGACAGGCTCTGGCGCCAGACTTTCCTAGTTCAAGTCCTCGCCTCCTCCACTTTCTGGCTGTAATCTTGGACAAGTGACTTCACCTCTCTGTGACCCGGTTTCTTCATCTGTAATATAACAGTTATAATAAAACAGATGTGGCACAGATGAAGCAAGGTAACCTATGGAGGGTGCTTAGCAGAGTGGTCAAAAAGTACAGCCTCTTCTTTTCAGCTCATCAAAGGCACAGTCTCTGGCACACAGAAAGCACCCTGTTAGAACATGTGGGAAAAGGCAAAAAAAAAAAAAAAAAAAAACACCCAAAGCAGCCTATAGACATTCCTGTTAGTACAATTATTATCCTTACTGAACCGGAGGCTCCAGAGGCCTGGGAATGTGATTTTAAACAAGCCCCGCCTTGTTTTACACCAGCATGACCCTAGTCCTCTGATGAACCCTGGGAACTGCAGTTTGACCTTCCATTCATTGTACAGAAGTCCAGAGAGGGCAGAGACTTGCCCAAGGTCACCCAGTGTTATGGGATCAAAGCCAAGCTCCAACCTACTCTACTTGCCTTCCAGCCTAGAGAGCTTTCTCCTGTACCACAAAGGGACAGATTCTTTAATGTCATCTGCTCAGGTTGCAATAAAAATTAACAACCCCGAATATGTGCATCATCAAAGCAGCTCCAAGGCAGAGAAGTCACTAAGGGAGACTGGGATGAAATGTGTCACACATGCTCCTGGGGTCTTCAAGCCTGTAATGACTCCTATGAGGCGTCCCACCCCCACCAGGCTGCACAGGTCTTCTCTGCCTTGGTGAGACACAGTGCTAGGTACAGGGTGGGTGCCCCGCGAGACCTTCCATGAGCAGAGCTGAGGGTGAGGCTTGGCCCCTGAATGGCCCAGGTTCCGGTCCTCTTTCCTCATGCAGCTGTGCATCCTACAGACAGCCACAGGGCCACCGGCGGCCACCTCAGTTCCCACCCCAGTCCAGAGCGGGTAAGAGTGGGAGGAGAGACCTTCTCCCCAAGGCTACTAGAGTAAAGGCGGGAGGTGTGTGAACAAAGGACCCTGCTATACCATGTCCCCAGTCTCTGCCCCAGGAATCCTCTGCAGCAGATAAACTTTAAAAGACTCAGGTCCAGGGAAAGCCTTCCTCTGGCTTGAGCCACATACCCAAAATCTGGGCAGGGAAAGAGAGAGAGGCCCAGAGGGGGCATCTGGGCCCCCAGTAGTCCAGTAGGATGGAGGAGCTGGGATCAAGAGTGTGTGTATGTGTGTGTGTGTGGTGTGTGTGTGAGAATGTGTGCATGGCTCCCAGATGTAGCAGACAGAACAACAGCGGGCAGGCCACCAGGAGGTGGAACTGGAAAAGAAGTAGGAAGGAGAAGGGAAGAAGATGGAAGGGAAGGAAGAGCAGGAGAAAAGGGGGACGAAGCAGAAAAGGGAGAATGGATGAATGGATTTCTAAGTTGCGGTGTATTCATGCAATGGAGTACTATGCAGCGGTGAAAAGGAACACATGCAAGAACAAAGACGAATCTCACAAGCATAATGCTGAGAAAAAGAAGCAAGATGCAAAAGACCATTCAGTGTGATATACAAGCTCAAAAACAAGCAAGACTGAGACAGTCAAGAATGCATAGTCGGGAGGCAAACAATAAAGAAACGCAAGGGACTGGTCACTATTAAAGCCAGGACAGAAGGAACCAGTGGGTTACCGTCAAGAAGGGACACACAATGGGCGCTTCTGAGGAGGGGGCTATTTTCAGTATTTTGCACAAAGTGTGGATTCATGGGTTCATTTTATGATTTTTAGTTAAACTCCGCATTTATGATTAGTGCGGCTTTTGTTATCAAGGCTGAATTTTATCATTTTAGCTGATTATGAAAAGTAGAGAAACAGGAGGGGGAAGAGGAGAAAAGAGCAAGGAGGAGGTGGTGTGGAGGGAGAAGGGCCTCCTGGGACTCAGCTTGGCTGGCACCACGGTAGGGCCCTGCCCCCATCCGGACGAGTTTGTAAAATGGAATAAATATTGACATGGCCAGGATGGTATTCAATTTGTCCTGATCACTGGGCTGCGGTGAGTTCTGACAGGGCGCGGTGTAAAACAGCAACTCGGGATGTAATTTCTACTGTCAACATGATGTACAGCGCGGCTTTGCCTGCGGCACCAGCACTCGGGCAGGGCGGGGGCGGGGCAGAGAGACAGGTGCAGGCAGGGGTACCTGGGGTGGAAGGTCTGACAGGTTGCCCCTGGGCAGGTGAGCAGTGCTAGCCAAGGAGTATGCATGTGTACATGGTGTGTGTGTGTGTACATGATGTGTGTACACAGTGTGTGTGTGTGCATACTCATGCATGTTCATAATTTGCACTGAATTCAGGACTTAACGAGGGACTCAGGCCTGGGTTAAGTCATGTCAAGCAGCGTGGGGAAGGACATGGTTCATGCTGAGAGCCAAATGCAGGCCTGTCCTTTCCAGCAGCCACTGAGCAACTCCTGGCCCATCCTCATTTCCCTCCCACTGCCAGAGCCTGTTTGAATTCCAGATCCACCACTAACAAGCTGTGTGACCTTTGGCAGGTCCCTCAACCTCTCTGAGCCACTGTTCCTGCTTCTGTAACAGAAATTTTAAAGAGAGCTATTGTGAGGATTCAATCATATCATTGATATAAAGTGTCCCGCATGGAACTAAGTGTTACCTCTTATTATTAGCTAATTGGATGGCACCGTGCCTGGCACATAGTAAAAGCGCTATAAATGTTATCTATCATTATTCTCACTGACTCAGAATCAGCTCAATGTATGCAACTGGCCTCTCTTTCTTCCTTCCCTGTGCCTTTGATCTGCCAAGGTTGTTCCCCAAAAGAACAAAGGTTGGGACACATCCCACTGTGTCCCATTGCCCGGCCTTCTCATTGGAGTGAAATGAGAATGTGAAGGGGATAATGGTAACATACTTTATGAGGTTATTGTGAGGAATAAGTAAGGTAATGCACATAAAGTGCTAGAACAGTGGCTGTTAGCAGGTGATCAATAAATGTCAGCTAAAACAAAAATAAAATCCGTAGAATCACTCTTGATATCTCTCCTTCCCTCGTCCACTACGTCTGATTCATCGCCAAGTCTGGTCCATTTTGCTTCCTAAATATTCCAAATCTGTCACCTTTTCTCCATCCCATGCCAGCCTCCCTGGTCTAAGCCACCACCACCCTCTTCCTCAGGCACTGCCATGGGCTTCTCACGGGTCCCCCACGTCCAGCCTTGCACATCTGCAGTTATTCTTCCAGCCACAAGCACAGTGATCTCCTTTAAAACACAACCTTGAACACATCTCCTCTGCCCAAGACTCTTCAGTGCCTTCTGGTTGAGTCAAAATCCAAACTCCTCCAGGCCCATCCTCAGCTGTTTCCCTAGCCTCCCCGTCACACTCTGCTCTGCCCGGGCCTTTTGGTCCCCTGAATATGGCTGTGCACATTCTGCCACCTGGGCTGCAGTACTCTCACTCAGCCTTTGGGTTTCAGATAAAAGCTCCCTTCTCAGGGAACTGTTCCCTAACTTGCCCCACCCATCCTTAATGAGGTAGTGTCCCCTATAAATTTGGGGTTCCT